TGAGCGTGGTCACCTCCCTCCTCATGTGCACCATTTAGGGACTAGCAGCTCCTCACTCCTAGGATGTACTCAGACTTTAAAAGGATGGCTCTGTGCCGAAGGCATGACAAGAGGTGTTGGCAGTCGCTGAGTCTTTGGGGCAACACTGCCCAAAACACCACCATTTTCTTTGTTTCTGTTTTCTGATCTGTCAAAAGGGCCCACGAGTACCTCTGTACCACCCAGCTGCCGTTGAGGTCCGACCCTCTTCTTTCCCAAAGCCTCTTGAGATCCTGGTGCGGAGCTCTGATGCACTGTGATTGCACATAGAGTTGTGAGATCTGAAACTTGTCATCATCTTAGCTACAATTGTTCCACTCTGATAATTTAATTAATCAACACTGCAGCAGAGTGTTTGAAATAATGTGTGCATTCATTTGCATAATGGCTGTAATTGGCAAAGCTTCATAATGTAAGTGTAGCAGTGCCACAGATGATAGTGTGCTAGGCCGTATTCCTGCAGCCAGCCAGCAGCACACATTTCAGCCTCTGTTATTTGCTTTGCCACAGAGGAAGGAAGTGACAGCTAGATTTATTGACAGACTGGCGGATTTTTGACAGCACTTGAACACATATATTTTCTACATGACTGTTGCTGTGTCAAGGTAAAAAGGCCGTAGTCAGGTTTTAGAGCAGAATCTCCACTCCAAATGGAGTGAAATGCTTTTCCAAGAGATGATTTCCCATGCAGATGTCCAAACATAGTGCCAAAGCTGGTATTTTCACTGTCATGTCTAAGTGGAGTCCCTAGGTTCAGAACCACAGTCACTGGGTACCTGAGCAACCTCTGCAAAGAAAATTAGTGACTGCCACTGGCGATCCCCTTGCTTTGGTGCCATCTCACTGGGAATGGACCCAGGGAGTGCTCCAGACCCTCCATGGCACATTGAACTTAGTCCTTAAGGACAGGATATTATTCTAAACAAATACTCACCTCATAACAAACATGACTGAGGCATCAGCGGCCATGCAGTGGTTGTGGAAATATTAATCCCCAGGAGATAGGCTTTTGGTAATCAATTGGCGTCTTTTAACTATCTTACTATATTCATTACTTTGCAATTAGCAAGACAGTTACTGATTGTTAACCAAATGTCAGATGACTGCAAAAGTCCATGTGCTGAAGAGAAAGAACAGCGCAGCAGAAATATTCCCTGCTCTGTGCACAAGTGCACCGATGTAGAAGGGCCCCGTCTGTGCTCTCAGGAGGACACCTGCTGATAAGCCTGGGTGCAGAATAGCCATATCAGGATCAGACCCATCATTACTTCATTAAAATGAAGCGACACTTGAACACTGAGTTCCTGGAGAGCCCTGTGAATGGCTCAGGACAGGGGCTCCCTCTTGGTTTGGAGAGTGCTTCTGAAATCATTTGATACCCCTCCATTTTAGCTTCCCTTCCCCAGGTTTGAGGGACCCAAAATACATTCCCTAAGAAGAAAAATGCAAACTGCTTTAGATAACCTCTGCCGGTATCACAGAGAGTTGATAGGAGCACTGCAAACCCCATTTTTGGATGGAGCAGATGCAGTGCTGGATGTGACACGCTACAGCAGGGACAGATGCAGTGCCGGGAGAAATCAGCTGAGTCCCTGGCACAGGCTCAGCATGGGAGCTGGGACTGCCAGGAGTAGTCCCAGCATTTGACAGTGCCTTCCTGCTTCCATGGTCTGGATCCAGAGTACATCCCCATCAAGTCTCCGGTCAAGCTGGCCAGAGATCTCCCCACCATATTGAGTTTTAGTAGAAAATGTAGGTGCATCGGATACAACCATTTGTAATGTAACTTCATGATGTGTCTGTGAAGATATTTTTCCTCAAAATTTCTGGTTCACAGGAAGGCAGGGAGGGAGAAGCGAGATGATTGTTTCTGATTCAATACATAGCTGCTTCTTAATAAATAAAAGCTTCCCACGTCATGAATTTTGTCCTGTGCAGGCTGCGAGCTAGCAGGAGCCTCCGAGGCCACCCCCACGGAACCTGCCCAAGCACTGGGTGCAGGAAGGGAGGAGGAATCCTCCCTCCCTTTTCTTTTCAGGCTGATGTGATGTGGGGTTTCAGGCAGCTGCCAGCACTGACATGGCATTAGCACTCCCAGGAAAGGAGCCTGAAAGCAGCACTGGCTTCTAGATCTGGCTTTACAGGTCAGCACCAGAAATAGGGAAAGGACTTCAGTAGGACTTCAGCTTGCAGATGTCACCCTGGGGAACCACTAAGGTGCCCTCTGTGGGATTCTGGGGGGGTGGTTCCGTTCCTGACAGCCAGCCTGTCCACTTACACAGCCTTCACGTTCAAAGGAACATCCATGAAGATGGGGGCTGAGGTCAGCTGAAAGTCTTGCCCAGTAGAGTCTGCTGGACGCGTGGGTCCTGGCTGCTCCTGTCAGGCGCTGGCTCACCAGGCCTTTGTGGTTTTGTCTCCAAAGGTACCGTGTCGTGGTCCCGTACCCGCCACAGAGTGAGGCTGAGATCGAACTGAAGGAAGGTGACATTGTGTTTGTGCACAAGAAGCGGGAGGACGGCTGGTACAAGGGGACATTGCAGAGGAACGGCAGGACGGGCCTCTTCCCCGGGAGCTTTGTCGAGAGCTTCTGAGGACGGCTCGCCGCTCTCTCAGCTGGAGGAGCTTTCAGGGGAAACTGCATAGCACAAGAAGAGACAGCAAAGGGAAACTGGACTGATAACCACTGCCATTTTTATTTCCAAAGACTCCCCCCCAGGCCCTTCAGTCTACAGCTCTGGAGACACAGTGCCCCGCTGCGCTCCCGAGGCCGCGCGCGGTGCATACAGTGGTATGTTGAAGTAGTGCCTTCCACCTGGAGTCACGGACTGAAAGGATGCCCATCTGGACTGTACGTAACCTAAGCTCCGGCTGTTAACCCTTTGTGTAAATTATAGAGAAGATATCTTTAAAAAAAAAAATTAAGAGGAAAGTTGTTATATTGCTGTAACTTATTTGTCAGAGCTGCAGTGTTCTTATTACTGGCCTATGCAAGATGGATTTGAGAGTTCAAAGAGGTGTGCTAGGAAGCTCTTAAACTGGGATTTCAATTTTCCCCAGGGAAAAAAAGAGGGAGGGGAGGGTGGAGGAAACCCAAGCTAAAGATCGGTGCATCATCATGGAAGAAAGAATGAGGAGTCCAAAACGTTAATGTCATGCTTTCTATATACCTCAAAGATATGCTGCGCAAGTTTGTCAGTGAGTGTGTTAGTGCTCAGAGTCCCATACCACCCGGTGTCCCAGCGCTGCTGCCGCAGAGGTCCTGGAGGAAGTACAGTTCCACCATTAAACTGTGGTTATTCGAGCAGAATCCCTTTTGCCTGTCTGCTGCCCTTATTATATGCAGCATGGATTTTTGTCCTTCAGTATCACTTTCCATTGCTTTTTTGTATGACGTACCTTTTTACTGTAAGAATTGCTCTACTTTATATATATTCCTACTAGATCAGACATTTCCTCTTTTTCATACATCTGGTGCTATTTTTTTTAACTGTTAAAAGATTTGGTTTGGTTAAACAGAGAGGCTGCAACCAGATTTGCATTCAACATACAAAATTAGAAATGAAGATGGAGATCAGACTGCTTGTTTGTGCTTCATGGAGGAAAAGAGGAAAAGCCACTTGGTCGGTGGTAAGTAAACCTGGAGGAGCGTACCTGTGCAGCACGCACGTGTTCGCTCTCTCCTACGTATTTAGGGTGGCTGAAGACCCACGCTGAAGCACAGCATTCTGTCTGGAGAGCGATAACTACTCCAGAATTGGAAGCAATTCCCAGAGGAGGCATTTTAATTGACTTTTTCATGGCAATAAGAAGAACACTGCAGGTTCTAGCACGTGCAGGGACCATGGAGTTTTCCTCTGTCGTTGCATGGCGGAGACGAGAGCTGATAGGCGACGGCTGTAATTAGCATTATTGAAATGTGATTTCTTACTGTAGAAATGTACAGTTCTGGAGACTGTTCAATTTTTTTAACATGGTCAAGCTACAAAACAAACCGTATCAGGCAATATAAGCTTCCATCTACCAGGGACTTAAAGGTGCAATAAATGTAAAGCCAGTTTAGCCAGTTGTTCGTATGAAGGAGAATGAGAAAAAAAAATCCATAATGCTATTGTGGGAGTATTTAAAAAGACATCGGCTCTTGAGGAACGGAGCGTGATGAAAGGCTTTTTGTAGCTGTATCTGTACCTTGCCTTTGCCAGCGGCTGGCTGTTTGCCCAAGCCCACATGTGGTGGTCATTTAAAAGCCTGTCGGAGGCACTGTAACCTGGAGATGATCTTATTAAAAGGAAGAGGCCCAGTGGGTGAAGATCATTACCGCGTTACCGGTATTTCATATGCAGAGTTGTAAGTTTTGTTCTCATTCAAGCCGTGTATACTAGTACATATCAAAACCCATCTAAGTGAGTGTTCCTATTTAAGTTCCGCTCCGTGACTTTGTTCTCTGTAAAATAAGTTTCTTCTTGCTGTCACTTGTAGCAAACCGATTCCAGAAACACAGTCCATGGCCAAGTATAGCACCTTCAAACAGGGAGGCTTCGTTTTCAGGGTGTTTCTTTTTATGCTTTATGTTGCCGCATTTGTTCATATTCCAGATTGTACTGAGTCAGCCACTAAAAGTTTAGTTACTGTTGAGAGGAAATTGCCTTTTTATAACCAGTAAGAGACTGAAGAAATGTCTTCTGGAAAGACTTGCTTGAGACTAGAGCCGTATCTGTCTGCTTATTCGGTCCAGATCAGAATTGGTATCACTGCACCTCAAACAGTGAACTGCACAGTTAGCGAGTCAGCAGCACCAAAATGCGTGTTATCAACTCCAATAAAAATTCTGGGTTAGATCTGTCAGAGAGGAGGAGATTTTTTCTGACAAGTTACAGTGGTTAAAACTCTCTTAAAATTCTGTTCCGTGAGTGTATTTACTACACTCAGAAAAATGAAACAGGATGACGGCTTGCTTGCTGCCTGTTGTGTTTAGCCAGATCTAAAATGGTTCCAGATTTCCACCTTTTCATGCTTTATTCTAAGGGGACAAAAGTTGGTGTGTGAGAAGATCAATGAAAACACGCAAATGTCGTGCCATGAAATCAGTGCTTTATAATGTATTTTGCAGGGAGGATGGTGGTTTTTTTTAACGGACGGCAACCCTTCCAGTCATACCTCCTGCAAGGAGAAATATTGACGGGGTGAGTGTGTGTGTGTGTGTGTGTGTGTGTGTGTGTGTGTGTTTCTATTTTGATAACAGCTGTTCCTGGCCCCTGTTTATTGCTTATCACCACAGTTTGGGTTACTGAGTAATCTTCTTGGACAAATCACTTCCATGCCAGGAGCACAAGTGCAGAACTTAATACAGCTCAGTGATACAAAAACGTGACCCAGTGCCATTTGGGAAGTCTTGGACTGAGAGAGGTTTGACTCGTCCTGTGGTCTAATTTTTACCTGTCACATGAAAGAGGGAGACAGGGGCACCTGCATCTCCTACAATGGGGTGGGGAGGAAGAAAAGACTCCATCTGGCGGTCTCAGTTTGTAAAATGCCAGATTTGCTCTTCTAGAAATGGGTTCAAGTAATTGAACAATTCCTTTGAACTTTGCACAGCTCAGAAAAATGTTTTTGTTATACATGAATGTTAACATGGTTTAGGAAATGTTGGCAGATATGAGTACAAATGAACTACAACGGCTGTGTTTCTGATTCTTTAAATAAAATAAACATTAAGGCAACTTGACTGAGGTTTCTCTCTCTATTAGATGGCAAAGTGAACTGACATTGTAAGTGTCTCTAAGGTTCTCAAGGAAAACAGGGAAGGGCCCTCTGCAAACCCTGCTTTTTCTGAGCCAACCCTACATCTCCTTTGCTTTCAGTAGTTATTCCCACAAAAATAAAGGCCAGCTAAAGGTAAGAGATGCCTGAGCAGATGTTGGAATCCCTTTCCAGATCTTCTTTTGACAGATCTGGGATTCTTCAAAATCTTGAGAAGTTAACACTCAGCTTACCTGTGGAGAAAGGTGTGTAGGTCCAGAGAAAGAGAATGGGGACAGGTTGGGAAGGGGGACTAAGGAGGCAAGGCCAAGGCTGTGGAAGAGGCTGGGAGGGAATGCAGCAGCAGGGCTGTTTGCAAGGAAAAGAGTAGCCTCTAATCCTGCCAGCGGGCTTTTGGAATGCTCTGAGTTCGCCTAGTGGGTTGAGACCCCCCATCCTCCTGCCCTGCGTGGCCTCAGACATGGTGCCAGCAGGCTCCATGTGTCCTCCAGGCTTACACACAGCTGAGGAACCAGGAGAAAGGGAAGGAGCGGGTCATACCCTGGGCAACTGTGCACCTGCCTAACTCAGGTGAGGGGCATGAGGCCCTTTTTTGATCATGGCCTGAGCTTCCCATTATGCAGCACAGTGCAGAGCGGCTGGGGGGCAGGGGGACCAGCACTGAGTGAAGGTGTGTGCTGATTTGACTAGGAGATTCCTTTGAATCACAGAGAATCACAGAATGTTAGGAGTTGGAAGGGACCTCTCAAGATCATCCAGTCCAACCCCCCCTGCCAGGATCACCTAGACCAGGTCACACAGGAACGCATCCAGGCGGGTTTTGAATGTCTCCAGAGAAGGAGACTCCACAACCTTTGAGGAAGAGGCACCCACAGGTGGTGATTCATTGCCCCAGTTTGGGTCCACAGGGCAGGGAGGAGCCAGGCACAGCCAGCTCACAGGGACATCCTCGTCATGGGTTTGCTCAAGCAGCCAGCCCTCCAGCGAGGTGACATGAGTCTCTCTTTGCCTCTGCCCAGGAGCTGGCTTCTGAGTTGAGATTTTAAAATGTGGGAACCGCAAGAATTTGAACGCGGGCAGGCAACACCTTTCTCCCTGCTTGGCCTCATCAGTTGCCCTTCCTGACAAGCAGCACAGTGCAAAAATGCCATCCAGAGTAGCCCGCCAGCTATTTCCAAGCTGGTGTGGAGCATTGGTCCCCTCTGCACTTTGCTGGGTACTGTTCCCCTGGCACCGCTCTGACCCACGCTGCCAGCTGGCACTGCACACCTCGTCCAGCCTTCACGCCGCCCTTTGCTCCTGCTCCAGTGCCTGATAGGAGTCCCAGCCATGTTTCAAAAGAAAAATAATCATCATAAAATGGTTACATGGCTTGACTATTCCTAAATGCTCGTGGAGAGCTGAACCACCTGGACAACATCTGCGGGGCTTTTCCGCGGCCAAAAGCTCTTCCTGACATCAGCAGTTCCTTATAACATGGTGAACCTGGCAGCTACGCGGCTTGGCGAGATGGGGCCAAACCAAACAAATGATCTGTACTAGCAGGGAAGCCAAGAGGTGATACAGTCTGGAGAAGGCCCTGTCCTTGCATCCCAGCCTTTCATCTAGCAAAAATCACTTTTCAAGCCGTCACAGATGTATTTCCAATTGCTGGGGTGCAGGTGTCTCCCCTCCCTTCAGAAAACAACTTGATTTTACTCAGCTGGCAATCAGCACCACCTGCCCCACAATGCCATGCCAGAGCCACAAGCCAGGGGGAGCCACCAAGGGGGTTGTAGCAGGGGGGTCCTCTCATGGCATCCCAATCCTCCCAGTGGCATGCCACACATCTCCCCCTCTGGGTTTACAGGTACAGCTCAGTTGCAGGTGAGTCCATCCCCACTTGGCTCTCTTCTTTACTCCCACCCCATGGAGAACCCCACAGCATCAGGGTCAGCATCTCACCACTAAGCGCTGGGGCAGAGGAGAAATGAGGCCAGTAAGTCAGGAGAGAAGGAAGAAGCATCTTCAACTTACTGTCAGAGAAGGAATATGTATTAAATTTGCATTTCCCATCTGCACAGGAGCTTGTTAAAGCTGATGCCAGTCATGTTGGTGTGTGCAACCCCCTGTCAGGCCCCAGAAGTGCAGTTTTGGGGTGTGCATGGCAGTGGTGAAGGGCAGTCCCATCACCAGGAGGACACATCCTCTGCCGTTTCCCCTGGCCAAGCAGGGCTGGGGTCCCCAGGGAGGGTGCAGGCACAGCCCAGGGAACTATGGGGCCAGGGTAGTGCCTGGCAGAGCATCTCTACCTGCCGAGCA